TGAGAAGTCTAGGAAATGTCATTATACATTGTTGGCAATCCACTCTGTAAACATGTCACTCAGTAAAACACGCCAACCTCATCAAAAACTGATGAAAAGTCTAGGAAATATCATTATACATTGTCAACATATTTTCAAAATTGCCTACAATACACATTTTCACCCGGAATGTTCACACTAAGTAAACATGTCAACCTCATTTTTCCAAACCTAGAACCTGAATTCTCATTGACTTTCCTATCTAACCATGGATAAAATGTCAAATGCTATTCTAAGTCTCATATCAGGAATACTATCTTGTGAGAAACCGAACAGAGGGAAGTGACCTTTTGCAAGCAAAGATGCAAAACCTAACATAGAAACACCACAAGTAGAAGAATCCTCTTGAGCAAGAATCCCATCTACTGATGTATCAAAGTAGGATGTAGGCTCCTCCACATGATATTTTTTCCGAAGATTTTGTCGCTGAAACTCCGCTCTGAAAAAACCTGTCAAAAGTTCGAGGGTTGGACCGTAGTCAACACGAAGGAGAGAGTCTACGAGGCGGAATTTACACTCAGAGCGATCTATACTGACATAAGCTAAGGCCCAATGATTTCCGAAATGGAGGGGGATAATTACCAAATCAAAATTGAAAAGATTTATGTCCTTCACCCATTTCGTCCCTTCGGAGTATGCGATTTCAGCGGACTGAGCTTTTGACAATCTGGGAAAGAAAAAAGAATTTAGAATATGCACAGATGGCATGCTACAAGAACTTTCATCTTTTGCCACTTCTGCACATGTCGAATCCACCTTCTTGATGTAGTCATTGGTGATCTGAACGGCTAGCAGGTACAAATTAACGACTTCATCATTTAACCATTCCCCATCTTTGGCGGTGAGCATGACGTCTTTTTTTTCCACCTTCCACCTCCTCTTGTAATCGACAATGCCGTATTCTTCATTCTCTTCAGTGTTGCCGGTAACCATTTCAAGATACTCCTTTTCTTCTACAGTACGGCGTACTGTTGCTAAAGGAATCTGGAACGAAGGGTCATGCACTGCATACAAACACAAATATAAACAACAATAGAGCGACTCAGACTTCACACAAAAAACAAGTGATAGACTACATAGATATGAGCTCATGTTGTTGGTTGTCTATCTGTTTCGTCATCAGTGTTGCTATCCATAACAGATAAACTGCAACCTGCGCGATGCAATTTCTTCCCTTCTATGAGGTTTATTCCAACAGCTTTAAACATCCTTAAGGCAACTGGCTTCACAGATAAAAATGCCATGGGTGTACGACTTCTTCTCTTTTTTTTTGGCAATAACGACAAAGTTGACAAAGCTTGCAAGCTACGACGAATGATATTTTTCTCTCTTCCTTTGCGAGTATACATGTGTCGTTTTCCACAGTTCTTTTCGTCGCCCTGCATGATTGACAAAATAAAACATAATGAGTTACAAATCCGACTTTCCGTTGTTGAAACTGACTCATGAATACCAATACAAAATATATGGCAATTGCACTAAGTCTTCATACAAAACAATTGCAGTATTTCTCTTCAGAAAACACACAGTTCCAAAGCTAGATAAATAAACAATACATCCGAGGGATCGACACAATGGAAGATGAGTGCATGTGATGTACCCATAAATCCACATATAGTATTAAATATTGCTCCTAAGATAAGAAAGTGCTCACCTCGATGGCTAACTCTCAGTTTTTCTTCAACACGACCTTCTGTCACACCTTCCATATGCAATGGCGCAATAGGAGATTCCTCGATAGCTATCATGAGGTTAGCAGACTGTGGTGTTTGAGGTTGTTCAAGCGTTTGTTGAGGTTGTACAAGTACAGCTTGCTCCGGTGTACTTAGTACTATATGTTCTTCATCCTCTTCGATGCCATGTACATAGAGAGTTTCTTCCTCCTTTACGCCCTCAAAAGTGTCCTGGAAAGTGCCGCTTACTTCGACTGGCATCGTCGACGACGGCATCTGCAATTCCGTGAGTGTACCCGTAATATCCACTTCCATCGCGACACTGTCGCCCACTAGTATTGTAGTCGCCCAAACTTGGTCAGCTGTACTCACGCCCTCGCAACTCACACGGCCTTTTCGTCCCGAAGTTTTGACACTCACACCGACAATCGATCCCTGTTGCTGTGTCGGGTCGGACTCAACCACAAGTTTCTCCGCTCGGTCAAGCTAGGAACGCTCCAATAGTGGACCCCTGTCGTGTTCGACTCGACCGTGTGACCCTTCGACGGGTGAAACAATGTCGATTGGTCCCGAAGCCTTGCCACTTGTACTGGCGATTGATCCCGTTCCCACTGTCGGGTTCGACTCGACAATGACTGCTGGACGAGTGTCGTGTTCGACACGACCGTGTGACTCTTTGACAGGTGAAGCACCGCCGATAGTTGTACTCCCCCCCCGTGGTCCCGAAGCCTTGCCAGTCGCACCAACCATCGTTTCCGATCGAGGTCCCGAGGCCTTGCCAGTCGCACCGGCGATCATTTCCGATCCCACTATCAGGTTCGACTCAACCGTGTGACTCTTCGCTCGGTCAAGCCGGGAACGCTCCAATGCAAGGCCACTGTCGTGTTCGACTCGACCGTGGGACCCTTCGACAGTTGAACCACCACTCGATCCTGATCCCTTGCGCTCTGTTTCTTGAGGCCCCTGAGACCCTTCGACAGTTGAACCACCGCCGCTTGGTCCTGTAGGTTTGCCATGCCCACCACCGCTTGGTGCTGATCCCTTGCCTTTTGTTGCGTGGCGCCCCTTAGACTTTTCGGTTTGTTGCCGTTCCCCACGACTTGCGTCCTTGCCGCTTGCACCGTCATTCGGTTTCATACCCTTGTCACTTGCACCACTCCCCGATCGCAATGCTTTGCCATGCGCACCTCCGCTTGATCCGGATCCCTTGCCATGGTCACCACCGCCGCTTGATTTTTTCCTCTCCCCAAGATCTTTTTTGACATGCCAATAATATCCATAAGCCGGGCTGGTTTGTCTATCATAAAACTCTTCCAGATACTCAAGCCACTGTGATGTTTTGAACTCTTGGAAAATTTCTTCTGTTCTTTCATCTAGTCTTGATTGAGAAACTTCCGGATTAAGACGCTGAAGTTGCTTGGCAATCTGATTTTTGATATGTTTCAGAAAGTTCGATCCTGACATACGCCTGTGGAGGCAAAACTGCCACCCTTCTTCTTTTATAGCCATAACCCACCTCCCTCTTGCCAATGCAGGTTGGAAGTGTTGGGGGTGCCATATAATGTGATGACCCCAAGTGGCATCATCTGTCACCGTATAATCGTCTCGGCACACTATAGGCCCCGGAAGCAGTTGAATGTCTGCAGGGATTGTGTCTCCAATCTCGTACTCCAAAGGCTCATCAGGTGGAGGTTGTTGTGGAGTTCGAGAGCGTAGCAATTCCATAATAGTACTTGGGCTGTGTACAAATGGTGCCAGAGTTGCCACCAACTCTGGGGAGAGCATTGCTAGAACACTCGGATCCAGACTGCCTCCGGATGCCACCGTCATCGTATTGCCCGCCATCTGAGTCGGCGTAACAATAGAAGAAGTCGGCGGCTGAGTCATTAACTGACCCGTTGAAACCGCCATGCTCGAAGCTCCTTCAGAACCGGACGATGTGCCTGGAACACCCATTCTCTGCGAACCCGGGCTACAAACTCTTTGCCTCTCAGCTGCCAAAGCCGCTTGCAAAGTGCCATCAATACTCTCTTCTTCTGAGTCGTCGGCATCAAAGTCCTCACCATCCACAAAACAAGTCGCATAACCTGCGATTGTAAACGCCCTGATTTGTTGGTCGAAGTACATGGTCTCCAAGCGGTCGAGAAATGAAACCTCCTTCTCCGATGGTGCTTTATGATAACCCCTCAAGAGCTTCTCCACTTTTCTTCTTCTGAGGACATAAGTACGTTCCCCTCTGTCTTGCGGCTTTGTTTCGAAGAGAAACTCCCAAATATTGACCACGTTTTGACCAACCTTGTAGACGAGATCACGCCCTTCATCACGTCGAGGAGGCGGCTTAGTAGAGTTGGCGTAGTAATCTCGAGTTTTGACCATCTTGTCAATGAACTGAATGAGGAACTCGAACTTCATACCCTCCCCTTCCAGCACAATGCAATGACGGTGACTCTTTAACAGCTCCCAAACCAATCCAGCATAACCTTTCCCGAGGAAAACGACAGCCTCATCCGCAGGACAAAAATGCTCCAATGTCTCCACCATCGCGTTTGGCTCCCTTTCCATACCATCATAGACCACTTTCTCCGGTGGATCCATACCTGCCATTTTCCACTTTGATGGTAGAAAGTTCTTCTCCATGACATCAGTCAACATCTTCGGCTTTCTCTCTCTCCGCACAAGTGCCGATATGTTAGCCACCCGCTCGGCAGATGATGGACCTGCAACTTGAATATCTTCAAACAAGGGAATAATGTTGCGATGAAACTCCCCGTCGTTGGAGTACATGATGACCACCATTCTGTCTGTGTCCTCCAAAGGCAAGTTTGCAACCTTATTGCCACTTTCCCCTTTGTTTGTTGTAAACGAGTCATCCAAGTGAATGTCCCACATCGTGACTCGCCTCAAGAATGTGAACTCGCAAGGGCGTGAAACGAAGCACAACAATGTCCAATACTCGCCGCCAAGTTTGTCCATGAACTTCTTGAGTCCAGCAAACACTTGTTCAGTCCACGCACCCATCTGGGTCGAGCGGCACAAATCCAGGACGGCTGTGTGACACGCCAGGTGTCTGACGGCTCTAAAATCTCCTTGCAATCTATTTCGTCTGAAACATCGCTCGGTTCCCACTGGAACGGCACGAATACAAATGTCACGTCCTGTTTCTGGAAATATATGTATCTCGCTTGTTTCGACATACGAATGCTATGCGAACCCCCAGTTTCAGATCTACGCAACAACTTGTTGGGGTTCAAGCGATTTTGTTTTCTTGAAGCCCTCCTCTCCTTTCTCATCCTCGCCTCCAAGTGTAGCCGGAAATGACCGCACCCAACTCGTTTCTTTGAAATGTCGTCGCTGGTCGATCCACCTCTCCGATGTCAATCCCTGATCAGAATACCGAGCGAACAAATCAGAAAGGTTGTTGAAGAATGGTTCCTTCCACTCTGACGGTTTCTTGTGAGTGTAAGAAATGAAGACGAAGTAGTGAAACATTCTCAACATTGCTCTTTCCTGCTTCACCATATCCACATATGTCTCCATCGAATGTTTCCCGACAGTGTGAGCAGTTTTACTTAGCCTTGGAGCCAGTACGACACTTCCCGTGAGAATGTCTCTCAACAGCTGCAGCCTCTCACGCCTCCCCAACGTAGACATAGCCTTCCATGATCGGACATCCGGATCGCGCACAGCCACGAGGTAACCAGGTCCTCTAGTACCCTGAATCCAGTGCACTGGAACCCTGACTCCTTTTTCCAACTCGAATCCGGGGCTAGGTCTCGGCGCTTTCCCCGATTCACCGTGTTTGGTGGCAGGCTTCACACCATCTCTCCGCGGCAACTGTCCACTCTCCCAAGCAGAATACATTGTTGCACCTTGTCGAACACATCGTCCGTCGCCCTTGCCAATATCATGTAAGGCCCGAGGAAGTCGGACCACTCCCTGCTCCAAGCCTGAAGTGAAAGAGTAACCAAATGATCACTCCCGGTCGCGCGCAGAGCCATTGCCGCAAACTCTCTGTAATCCTTATTTTTGACGTCTGCAGCAGTTCCGCCTATAGCTTCTGGACGACCGGCTGCTTGCCACAACTTTCGTATGTTCTTAATGATAGCCAGGGTTGTCGAGCCCCGGCCCCGGGGCCCCGGCGGGGGTCCGGGGGTGGGCACCCCCAACCCCGGCTCCAGACCCCCCTCCAAATAAAAAAAAAAAAAAAAAAAAAAAAAAAAAAAAAAAAAAAAAAAAAAAAAAAAAAAAAAAAAAAAAAGCGGGAAGTCCC